ATGCAGGAGATGTAAGAGATGCAGTTTTGATCCCTGGGTCAGGAAGATCCCCTGGAGAAGGGCATGGCAATCCACTCCAGTATTCTTGCCTGAAGAATCCCATGGACAGAGGAGCCTGGCGGGCTACGGTCCATAGGGTCTAAGAGTCAGACACGACTGAAGCAACTTAGCACGCACGTACATGAGGTACCTAGGGTAGTCAAATTCATGCAGTCAGAAAGTACTTTGGTAGATGCCAGGGGCTGGAGGCTGGGGGGTATGGGGAGTTAGTGTTTAATGCGGACAGAGTTTCAGTTTAGGAAGGTGATAATGGTGAGACTTGCACAGCAATGTGAACGTACCGAGTTCCACTGAACTGCACGGTTAAACATGGTGACAGTATATGTTTTACATTATGTGGCTTTTACCACAATAAAAAAACATTTAAAAAGGAAGAAAGGATGCATTTAAATCTAAGGGGTTGGTTTTCAAACACTGTGTTCTTTACCCCTCCCTTACACTGTGGCCCATGGGGGCCAGGGGATTAGAGAAGATTTGATTTTTCTTGACTTAGTCATTCCCAGGGTGGTCTCTGGGCCCCAGAGCTCTGAGCAGATCATTCAGGAAGTGTCTGGTGCCCTTTGCATTTAATGAGCCCCTTTGATCTGTGGAGTTTGCTGAACACTGAAGACAAGATGGTCATAATCCTCCAGCCCAAAGGCTGGACCCTCAGGAGCTGGGCCGGAGGGGTTCATCCTCTGCCTTACCCTGGTGCCCATCCAGCCTATGAATGCACCTTTATTGTGTAACTATGACGTGCCTGGTCCTGTGGGGTATGCAGGATCACCCCGAAGCCTAGAGAAAACAAGTGAAGAGTGATTAAGGGCTGAACTGTAGGTCATGATGCAGGGACAGAAAATAGATCCAGAGTGGGAGACTTGGTGAAAGGGCTGGTGCTGGAGCAGGGAGGGAGAGACAAGAAGAGACCCATGGTGCAGATGTGCACGGGACAGCAGGAACCAGAGTACAGAGGGGGATGAGCAGAGTGTGGTAAGAAGCTGAGTCTGATGTCAGAAAGACCTGGCTTTACATTCTGGCCATGACACTGGCTGGCTGAGTGACCCTGGGTTGGTGATTTAACCTTTCTCTTTAATAGGAGTCATTGTTATATTGAGAGATGTTTATCACCTCCATTTCCATGTTCCACCACTTTAGCTTTTAATAAAGTTGACTGTAATGAACATTCTCCTTCAGTCTAACCTGAATCTATCTGGCTTTGGCTCACTCACATCTTTCTTGTTCCAGGAGAAGCACAGGTTGATCAGCCAAAGATGGTTCAGGGTCCAGATTAAGGCCTCTTAGAAGCCCTAAACACAAAAAGATTATGGCCCTCCTCCCCACTGTACATAAAAATATGCCAAATCATAAAGTAAAAAACTTATGTGAATGCCAAGGTTAAAATAGCTTTTTTTGCAGATTTGTTTTTTCTAAAATCCTGGATCACTTCCTTCATCAAAGTTAAATTTTTCTAACAGCTTCGGTGTCTTTGCTTTCTAGTGTTTGTGGCACCCAAAGCAAGTCTCTATTCTACCTTTTGGGTTGTCCAAAACCAGGGCAAGTGTGGGGAACTGGGAGCTCCAGGGGAAACGGCACACCTTTGGCCTCATGGTCTGTGGCCAGGCACTGGGACCAGGCCAGGTCATGCTCCTTCCTTCTCCAGATAACTAGGGGCTCCAGGGATGGTCCCCCATCCAGAGCCACGGTGGAGAGCCCAGGTCTTGTGAGTTATGCCTGGCCAGCAGCTCTTCCTCCCCTGTCTCATGGCTGCCGTGTTAGAAAGCAAAGAGAACAGCCTTCGCCGCTGCTTGGCATCGTCGCCGGGGACCGGAAGTCCTGTCTCTTTCCTGATTGGCAATCTGACATGGCTGCCTAACAACCCGATTAATCAAACCCAGCTCATCCTGTTAGAATTAATGAGCCTAAGAGATGCTGCCATGAATAATGAGGGCTTTTGCCCCTCCTTCAGCACCTCTCCTCCCCCTCCCATTCCTATTTTTTTCTCAGAGCCACATAGCAACTACTCATTACTGAGGACCTGGAGGCCTCCATGGGTGTGGCGAGCACCTGGCATTGTGGGCATCTCCTGCCTGTCCTACTCTACCTGGAGCCAGAGGCTGGCCATGTCCTGGAGGAGTGAAACCTCTCATTCATCAAACAGCTCTGTATGCACTGCACTGTTAAAGTAGGATGGAGTATGGGACTTCCCTGGCAGTCCAGTGGTCAAGACTCCATGCTTCCACTGCAGGGGTCAGGGGTTCCATCTGATCCCTGGTCAGGGAACTAAGATCCCACATGCCAAGTGGCATGGCCACACACACACACAAAAAAAGTTGGATGAGTATCTCTTTCATGCACTGCACTAGGTGCGAAGGATGCAAAGATGGGCATAAGATACATATTGCTGCTGTGAAAGGTCATGGTATTGTGACCCAAACACACATGGGGAAGTGCTTTCAGAGTGGGTATGGGAGGGTTCCTGGCCTGCAGCCACCGTGAGGGGGCCTGTCAACACAAGAGGAGCAGAGTGGGGAACCAGAGAGGATTTTATGAAGTGGTGGCACCCTGAGCATTTCTGTCACCAGGTTCCTTCATCATACATACACATATGGAGTGCTGGGCATTGAGTGAAGTGCTGGATAGACATGGCTCCTGTTCTTATGGAATAGGCAGTCTCATCTTCATTCTTCTGGGCCAGGCAGGAAACCTGAGCAGACACTTGAATTATGTTTTCACTTGCTCAAACACAAAGGCTGTTGAAGGCTTGCTGGGAGTAGGCTAGGCACTGCGAGAATGAATGCAAAGATGAACAACCTCCCATCCCTGCCTTCTAGGGCTCCTCTGATGGGGCAGTGGATAGGCTTATGCCAAGGGCCTCAGAAGGTTACACTGACAAGGTGCTCAGAGATCAAGGCACTGCACTCATCCTAGAGAAATCAGAGATGACTCCCTGTAGAAGGTGGCTTTGGAACCATCATGAAGACAGAAAAGCAATTGGACAGGTATACCAGGTGCAGAAAAACACTCTAGACCTCATCCAGGCTGAGGGGTAGTCTTTGAGTGATAGGAGTTGAAGAGAAAGGGAAAGATGATTCCATGCATCTTGGGAGAAAAGGACTGTTTCTACAGTCTACAGCAAAGAGCACGACTAAATACACAAATAAAGATCTGTAACTAATAGGTCAGGAGCTCCTGTGCCTGCTTATTCTAAGTTGGGAACAAGATGTGGTTCCTCGAATAGTGAAATCCCCAAATTCCCAGGTGGATCAGTGGATAAAGAATCCGCCTGCAATGCAAGATACGCAGATGTGATCCCTGGGTCAGGAAGATCCTCTGGAGAAGAAAATGGCCACCCACTCCAGTATTTTTGCCTGGGACATCCTGTGGACAGAGGAGCCTGGCAGGCTACAGTCCATAGGGTCGCAAAAGAATTGAACACCACTTGGAGACTAAACCACCATCACCAAATTAAAAGGGACATGGCTTCAGTGGCCATATCGCAAACACACCAGCATGGCGCTTAGGGAATGGGGCTGCGCCTGGCAGCTTCTGGGTCCTTTGACAGGAGTGAGGCAGAAGGCATCTCCTTCAAAATAGATGAGTTGGGGGAGGGAGGGCGTGGGAAATGAGGAAGGGGGCCTTGGGATGGGTCAGAAGGGAGCAGAGGTTGGGGAGTTGGGTGGGACCCACTCCTAAAATCCCTGAGAAGATAAATGAAGGCACTGGAGGACAGGAGTAAGGAGGTAGAAATGACGGGCTCTGAGCGAGGAGGGAGAAAGAGGGGAAAGGGAGGGGGAGGAGAGAAGGGGGTAAGGGAGGCCCTCTGGGGCCCGCAGCGTCAGGACCAGCAGGGAGTGGTCATGCGGTGTGTGGTCATGTGACATGTGGTCACAGGCTGGAGACTGAGTCCAGCCCCGCAGTCCACAAGGAGCCTCAACTCTGGCACTGTCTTTGCTTCCCTGCTTCTAGTGAAGCCTGCCCCAAGCTGGGCTTCCCAACCACTCCCAGCCAGTCCCAGGGAACATGCCAAGAGGGCCCCAGGCCTTCAGAGAGGGCATCTGCTCAGCCTCCTAGGTCCCCAGGATCCAAGCCTGCCACGTTTTTGTCACTCTGGGACCAGGGGCAAGAGGCTTCACAGAGGGGATCTGGGTCTCTATGGGCTGTGTGGCAGAAGAGTGCAAAGGCTCAGGTCCAGCACTCTAAAGCCAGGCCAAATGACCTTCATGACATGTATTCAAAGCTTGGGTTTGCTGTTGACATTTGACTACGGGGAAATTTTGCATAAACACTTGCCTCCTTGGAACACAGATTCCCACATCTGCAGCTGATGATGGCTGTCTCTTCAACCCGCCAGTCCATTCCAGTTCCTGCCAGCTGGCTTCAGTCACAGTGTGGCCTGTCTGCCCCTGAGAGCATTTGGGTTTGAGACCCCTGGCTATACCTTTAAAGAGAAGTCTACCTAGGCTGACACCAACTTTGGATGGCAGAGAGCTTCCATGGAGATACTCTCACTCATTTTCATAGAAACCCTAGGACTTGGGCAGTACCGAGTAGAAGCCAGGAGCTCAGAACTGTTAGTTGAAGTCACTGAAGTTGGGAACCTGGAGCCCAGGCCTCCTCCCAGCCAAGTCTGTGGTCTGGCCTGGCCAGAGACATGGAGGGTGGAGGGAAAACCAACTCTGACGGCAAACTCCCCGCCCCTTCCCGCCGTTGCTGAGGTCTGGCTTCCTGGTGGCTGAGATGGTAAAGCGTCGGCCTGTAATGAGGGAGACCTGGGTTCGATCCCTGCGTTGGGAAGATCCCCTGGAGAAGGAAATGACAACCCACTCCAGTACTCTTGCCTGGAAAATCCCATGGATGGAGGAGCCTGGTAGGCTGCAGTCCATGGGGTCGCAAAGAGTAGGACGCGACTGAGCAACGTCACCGGATCCCTGGCTCACCACCCTCCGCCTCTCTCCCTGCAGGGGGAGCTGCTGAGCCCGTGCCGCTGCGCCGGTTCGGTCAAGTGCACGCACCAGCCTTGCCTCATCAAGTGGATCAGCGAGCGGGGCTGCTGGAGCTGCGAGCTCTGCTACTACAAGTACCACGTCATCGCCATCAGCACAAAGAACCCTCTGCAGGTACGGCCGCCGGCTGCCCGCTGCGCGCTGCGGCGCCGCCCGGGCTTCCCCACACCCCCGATCTCTGGCGGGACGTGAAGCCACCTTAGAGCTCCGGGGCTTTGGAGGAAGGGAAAGAGACGGGCCAGGTGGGCGAGACCGAGGATGGAGAGCGGGCAGGAGGGCAGGGAAGAATTTTTGTTTTCTCTTAAGCCTTAGCCAGAAGAGGAGAAAGGGGTGGGATCAAGAGACAGAAATAGAGAAGGAAACATGGAGAATCAGATGGAAGAGAGAGAATAAGTGAGTTCATGGATAAATGAATGGATAAAAGAAATCAGAAATAAGAAAATGGAAGGAGAAGAAAAGAGGAGAGGGAGGGAGGAAACAATAAGAAAGAGAGAACAGAGGGTGCAAAAAGGCAAAGAGGCAGGGTGGGACGGTGAGGGGAAAGACTGTGATGAGGTTCAGGGCAGAAAAGAAGAAATGAGAGTAGAGACTGGATGGTATGTTCCAAACTTGACAGTGCCTGGAATCCCAACAAAACGCAGGGTGGGGCCTGATGGTCTCCATTCCAACAAGCTGCCCAGTGATGCTGCTGCTCCTGGGCCACAGACCACACTTCTTACGACAAGGGACTAGAGAAAAACGGAGACGAAACACGAGAGGGAATCAGAGGAAGAGGAAAGACGGGGCAGGAAGGAAAAGGGAGAGAATATAAAGAGTCCATGAAGGTCAAGGGCAGGAGACCAGGGCTCAGGTGGGGTCTGCGGAATAGATTCGCACGGGGCGGGGCTGTCAGATCAGAGGCCCCCGCGCTCCCCACGGCCCGCCCACCCCCTCCCACCCTGCCCTGAGACATCTGTCATCCCCAGAAGAGCTGACAGCCCCTGTTCTAGCTCGTATATCCTCCAAGTCACACAGCTCCCCCCTGCGAGGCACACACACACAGAGGGCGCTTTGCTTCTGAAAATACCTCCACATAGACGCGCTCAGCCAGTGAAGCTGCCACGTCATCAATTAGCCAGCATGCTGGCAAGGATGCGGGAACTCCAGCTGCTTGGCACAGTTGTCTCTCTCCTGTCCGAAGGGGTGAGAGAGTCAGTGCTGCTGCCCCAGCAGAGCTTGGGGATGATGGTGGGCTGGGATCTCTGCATGGAAGGGGAGCTGCAAACACCGGGAGCTGCAGTGTCCTTGCAGCGGGGGCCAGCCTGGGGTAGGGGAGGCATTATTGCTAGAAGGGAGCCTTGGAACCCTCAGGCACCTCAGTCATCCTGATGGTGCACCAAAGAATCAGAATAAGAGGTGCCTTCCCATGCTCTGGTTCCATCCTCAGCCATTCGTTTCAAAATCTTGACGTGTCTTAAAATAGCAGTGTCTGATTCCAGGCCCTGGGGTGCATTAAGTCTTTCTTCTTTCTCAGCTGATTCAAGTCTTAGAAAAGGGTCAGAGTCTAAACCCACCAGCCTGAGTGCCCCCTTGGCTGTGTCCTTGGCTTACAAACAAGCATCAGCCCTTGACACAAAAAGGGAAAAAACATTTAGGGATAACTTTTTCCTGGGGGTTTTGTTGTTCAGTCTCTCAGTGTTGTCTGACTCTTTGAGACCCCCTGGAGTGCAGCACGCCAGGCTTCCCTGTCCTTCACTATCTCCTGAAGTTTGCTCAGACTCATGTCTGTTGAATCGATGATGCCATCCAACCATCTCATCCTCTGTTGCCCCCTTTTCCTCCTGCCCTCAGTCTTTCCCAGCATCAAGGTCTTTTCCAATGAATCTTTTCCTGGGAGTAAAGAAAAGATTATTCTAATCTCATAAGTGCCTTAAGCAAATGGCAATATTGACATTACCTTACTACTTTATTCTTTATTCTTAAGTTACTACTTTGTCTTTTATTGTGCCCAACTTTGTCCTTAATTGTGCCCATCTTTGCATGAAATGTTCCCTTTCTGTTGTTTTCCTCTATTTCTTTGCATTTGATCACTTAAGAAGTCTTTCTTATTTCTTCTTGCTATTCTTTGGAACTCTGGAATAACTTTATCAAGTTACTACTTAAGAATAATTCTTAACTTACTAATTAAGAATAAATTTATTCTCAAGCTACTACTGTGTCTTTAACTGTGAGTTTCTAGTCATTGAAGATTCTGATTCTGTTACTTTTGGATTGTGATTGGACCTCAGTGCGTTCAGTGTTGTGTGCTCAGAAAATGCCATTTCACTCTTCCAAATAGTACCAGAAGAAGGAAGTAATCTGGACTAGCAGCATTACTGTGTGGTTGTGGCCCAAATTGACCCAATTGCATGTCTTGGGCTCCTCAGTCTCAGCCAAGTGTGAGATGACTGCCTGCTCAGCCATGGTGGGACAACTTCTGATCCTCCTCATTTGTGGTAGAGGATGGAGCAGGCAGGCCCTACCAAGAGAAAGTAGAACAGTGGATGGGGTGCCGGGGCTAACTCTGCTGTCAGAGAGGGGAGGTTTCTTCCAAGTCTCCAATGTCTCACCTCTTAGTTCATGATCCCTTAAAACATTCCGAGAAACAGTGGGAATGACAGCATATTATCTCGGTGACCCTCTGCAAGCTCTGTTTCTAGAAAGAGCTCCCGAGAAAGGTGGCATTTCAGTGTAGCCCTATGGTCTCAAGGCTCTGTGGGTGCCTCTCATCCTCTTTGCTGCATCAGAACTGCAATTATATTCATGAAAATTTAATTAGTGCTTACTGGGGGCCAGTTGTTCTAAGTGTTCACATATATTATTTAATACTAAAAACAACCCAATGCAATGGGTACTATTATCATGCCCAATTTTCAGATGAGACAGTGGAGGCACAGAGGGGTCAACAATTTGCCCGAGGTCACTCTGGTGGAGCAGGGTTATATCCAGGGGCCTGACTCCTGAGTCTGGCCCTTCACCTCTACCCTACCTGCCCAGCACACAATTTGCTAAGTATGTTATGAATACTCCTACCTTGCCAAGCATAACTGTATTTTTGTTAAAAATATAAAGAGGAATAGAAATGATTGCAGCAGTTACCCTTCAAAGCTCTGATTAATTTCACTTAATTCTCACAATACTCTAGGAAACAATTATCTCCACTTTTTGGAAGTCCTGATAATTTATTGACTTCTCCTAGGTCACACTCCATGAGCTGGAGCAGACCTGAGCTAGGATTGGGTCACCTTTTTCACTGCCTCTTCTTGTTAAAAGGAAAGAATCATCTGTGTTCATGCTCTTGCCCCTTGGTCTCTCCATTCGCCGCACAGAGGGGCACGGAGAAGTCTCTGGATACTGTGATCAGGAGCTTGCTGCGGATGAAGAAGGTCCGGGGATCTGGTGGGGGCAGAGCTGCTCCCTGGGGAGCCCTTCCCCATCTCCCTGGGAGACCAGAGAGCTCCCCTGTCCTCTGCTTTCTCCTTGTGGCTCTGCTCCCCACATTGCTGTGGAGCCTCCCATGGGGCAGACAGGAGGGAAGCCTTGGGCATAGCACCCCGTCCTGGTCTTTCTTCTTCCTGCTTCAAATCGTAGTTGGGGTGCTGTATGGCTTCCACAAGTGGCTTGGGGCTGGTAGGAAGGACTCTAGAGACTAAGGGGCGCTTCCTCTGCCTCTCCATTTGGGGTTTTTGAAGCCTGGAGCAGAAGAAAGGAAGGGTGTTGATGTCATAGAGGTAGAAACAAAAAGCTCAATCAGGAGCCCTCTTCACAGACAGGGAGGCTGGCTCTGGAAAAAGCATTTGCCCTCTATTAGAGGAGTCTGTGGGATCAGGCCATCTTCTGGAAAATTCCTGTTATGTGTAACCCTAGGCGGGTGGAAAGAGCAGTGGAAAATGTAAAGGCCCAATTACCTGTAATGGGATGCGATCTGTATAATTACGTGTAAAGGCTGATGTCCCACATCTAGATGAGCAAGCAAATGTTTTCCAATAGTTACAGTTCCTTAGGCGCCACTGGTCAGTTCCGGCTGGAGCCAGAATCATCAGTGCTTCCATCTAGGCCGTATAACGCGCAGGGAAGGCTCACTGTTGGCAGAAGGAAGGTTGTCCACCTTTTCCGGGGAGTTCTGACATGCCTTCTGAAATGCCTACTAGGCACTCTCTGCAGGGCACTACACAAACTGCTACAATCAGGGGATAGTCCTTCCACCTTCTGAAGGGCTCCCCAGGTAGCACAATGGTAAAGACTTTGCATTAAAATGCAGGAGATGTGGGTTTGATCCCTGGACTGTGAAGATCCCCTAGAGAAGGAAATGGCAACCCACTCCAGTATTCTTGCCTGAGAAATCCCATGCACAGAGGAGCCTGGTGGGCTACAGTCCATAGGGTCGCAAAGAGTCAGACACAACTGAGCATGCACATATGCCACCTTCCCAAACCTGATCCTGTCATTTCCCTGCTGCAAACTGATCAAGAGTATCGTGTTTATTCTTACAAAAAAGTTTTTAAAAGTCTTTGCACATTCTTTAGGCTCCAGTGTGGTCTTCTTTCTTCCTTTCCCAGTTGTCTTACCCCACTTCTGGCTCTCTGCTCCACCCTCTCTGGTCTTCTTCCAGGTTTTCATACTTACCCTGCTTTCTTCTGTCACAGGGCCTTTGCACATGCTCTTCTCCTTGCTGGACACATATGCCTCCTCTCTTTATCTAGTAAACTCCCACTCAACTCATTGCTTCCTCTAAGAAGTGAAATCCCCTATCATAGGCTCTCACATGTCATGATGGATAGCCATCATAAATAATCGTATCTGTCTGTGTCCTCTAAATGTGAAGCTCCATGAAGGCAGAAGTCTGCCTGTTTTTGCTTACTGCTTTATATGCAACACCTAGCAGGTGCACACACAAAAACATCTAGTACATATTTGCTGAGCAAGAGCATGAATAAATCCCAAACTAAAATCCAACTCATGGCTCATCTAGGCCTGTGCTACCTGGATCAGTCATAGGCTCATAGAATTTCAGAGTGGAAACCCACCCACACTCTAGCCTTCAATCCATCCATCAATACAGCTATTAGCATAGTGCTTTTCTGTTAAAAAAAAGAAAAAAGAAAAACATGGAAATTTCAGTGTTTGTACACAGTCAGTGAATTATACTGTTTTTTTCTCTCTCCCTGACATCCTGCGGCCTCTCTTTGTCTGTTGAATTGGTAATCTCTATCATGTATATTAAATGACATGCCAGGTGTTGATGTAGAAAACAACCAAAAAAAAAAAAGACCTGTGCCCTTTTAGCACCTATTAGTGAGAAAATAATGTGTTGCTCAGAAAAGAGTATTCTGGGGGCCTGGAACACCACCTACACTCTGCATTTCCACTGTCTCCTTCCCAGTTTTCTGTCTGCATCATAATCAACCTCAAGGACTTTCCTTCTCAGCCTCGCCTACCCAGAGCCCCCTCCCAGAAATGACTTCTGATCATTTGGTGTGATATAGGTTTCTTCCACATCAAAAGCACAAAGTTAACACTCAGAAACTCGCAAAAAGAGCCACCGTATCACACATTGGTAAGCCCTGGTTTAAATCCAGAGGTGAGAGGCTGGGGCAGCAGCAGGAGGAGGGGATGTGGATGGGGTGGAAATGCGGTGAGGGTGTGCAGGCCACCACTGACCCGCCATTCTCTTCCCTGCAGTGGCAGGCCATCTCTCTGACAGTCATCGAGAAGGTTCAGATTGCAGCTGCCATCCTGGGTTCCCTCTTCCTCATCGCCAGCATCTCTTGGCTCATCTGGTCGACCTTCAGCCCCTCAGCAAAATGGCAGCGCCAAGACCTCCTCTTCCAGATCTGCTATGGGATGTATGGATTCATGGACGTGGTGTGCATAGGTGGGTCTACTGGACGTGTTGATTCATGGACGTGGTGTGCATAGATGGGTCTCTGGGATGTATGGATTCATGGATGTGGTGTGCATAGGTGGGTCTACTGGACGTGTGGATTCATGGATGTGGTGTGCATAGGTGGGTCTCCGGGATGTGTGGATTCGTGGACGTGGTATGCATAGGTGGGTCTCCGGGATGTGTGGATTCATGGACGTGGTGTGCATAGGTGGGTTTGGAAGCTCATCTCTATAGGAAGTGGGGAGCCATGTGCTGGTGAATTAGACACATCCCCCAGGGTCCCTTCCTCTTGAAGGTTGAAAAGGTCAAAGCAGAGATGGCACCAGGCTTGAGATTTGTGAGCTCAAGAGGGGCCATGGCTTAGATTTGAGGGGCATGTAGGGAGTAGGAGGAGGCAGGACAAAGACAGGAGACCTCAATCTTTCTCAGGAAACTCTGTCCTGCCCAGTTGAAGATGAAAATGAGGAGGTTAGCCTCTAAGAATATTTGAGAAAAATCAGTTGGTCAGTCTACCTGCCTTAGGCAAGTTGTGGAAGGCCTCTTATCCATTGTGTATCACAGCTGCCAAGTCAGGACAAAGGAGGCCTATACATTTAATTCCATTCTCTTCACAGAAAAATGCCCAGAAACAGTCATGATGATACCTTGCTCCCCCCTTTTTTTTCGGCTTTCTTTAAGCCTATTAATACCCAAGATTTCTCTAATCTAGTGGTTTTCAAAGTGTATGTAGTTCAGGGGTTCCATGCACTACTTCAAGAGCCACTTTAAGGCCTGGGGAATGAGATGCTGTACAGATGGGCTCTGAATCCTCATCCCTGCTTCACCCCTAGCTTCTGTACTTTCATCGATATACACATGTGTCTGTTCCCAGGTAAGGTTTTGCTTTAAAGCTTTCAGTGTTTTAGAAGGTTAGAATCCCACCACTGTAAGTTCCTGCTTGCTCCCTTACACCATTCCCAAGTGTATGTTCCCTCCTCTCCCATTACATTAGGCTGGCTGTTGGAGGGCTTTTGTTTTTCCCAGCAGATGACTATGGCTGTCAACTCTGGAGTCTTCCTCCAAATGACTGGGGAGGTGGGGAATGGCCCTGGTTTTCTCTGAGTGGAGGAAGCACGTTGAAGCGCTGGTCATATACACTCAGGTTACCCCCCTGGGCCATAGTGCCGACAGCACCGGAGCTCCACAGCGGTCCTCTCTGGGTGTTAGTTTGGGTTTCTTTCAAATAGGCTACACTGCTCTGTTTGGCAAGAAAACATCTATCAGCTAGAATTGGACTGAGAGGGTGTTCATTTTCTTCAGGGCCCTTTAATATTAGGGATCACAGAGGCTTGCATACAGATTACAGCAGCAGAGGCTAGTGATGCTGGAACTTGTAAACCTGTCTAAGTGTCTTGCTGCCTCTCCATGCTGGCTAAACCAGTACGTCAACTCCCAAGTTCAAGAGCCTTTTAATGGCGTCACCTAGGCAGTGAAAGAACCAGACTGCCCGGGCTTGGAGGCCTATAGAAGAGAGAGGACTGTGAATGGGGAGGAATCTGTCATTGAGGCATTCTAATTTAGTTTCCTTTCCCACCAGACTCCCTTCCTACCCCTGCTGAGGCGCGAGTTGTTGATGCCAAAAACCAGGTGCGTCTCCATATGGAGGTGTGTGGCTCTGGCAAGAAGGGGGAAGCAGTGGAAGCCTTCCTGTGGGGCCCTTCCAGCTGCCCTTCTTTCTCCTTCAGGAGGGTCTTTGATGAGTCCCTGGAGTGGACACATTTTCCTGTCACGTGGTGTATTAGTCAGCTTTGGTTGCAGTAACAAACAGCTCCGAAATTGCACTGCCTCACAGCAAGCATTTATGTCCCGTTCATGGGTCCACGAGATGATTTGGTTCTGCCAGGCCTGGCTGGACTTAGCTTCTGATATTGCGCTGGGCTCAGGCCTGAGTGTCTCCTTATGACGGGGCCCAGGCTAAAGGGGCAGGAACTACTGGGGTGTAGTCTTCCCACCAAGTGCAGGAGCACAAGAGGATGGGTGAAACTCACAGAGTTTTCGAGCTTCTGCTCAGTACTGGCACTGTGGCCCTTCTGCCCACAAGCTGTGGGCCAACGATGTCGCCAGTAAGCTCCTGCCCTGGAGGCCAGCATGAGTGAGAGAGAGCAGCAGAAATTCTGTCTCCCAGTCGGGGCTCCAGAGATTTGAAAACTGGGAGAACTGGACATAGGACAGACTTGGTCATGGGACCAGTCAAGACATCTCCCTTGTTTTGAAGTCGAGAGAACAGGGGGCCCACAGAAGGGAAGTGATGAGCTCACGATTGCTCAGCTGGGACTAGAAGCAAGGTCTCCCAACTGGCCATCCAGGGCTCTTTCTGTTATCCTCTTGCATCAGAGAGCAGGACTCCTGCAGCAGCACCGGGAAACCCACTGATGCCACCTGAGACTCCCAGTGCACATGGGCCCGTGTCCAGGAGGGGCCCTCGTGGCAGGCTGCACCCCGCGGCTCTGAGCCCCCCAGCACCCCTACTCTGGCCCACCTGGTGCTCTGGTCTCTCCTCCTCATGGTGTCTCCTCTGAGGAGGGCTCCTTGGGACCATCTCCTTCTCTGTCTCTTCCCTGGCTCCTCTATCTGCCTGCCTGCTCCCCGGCCTTGGCCCACTTTTCTCCCATCTTGTATACATGTGACCCTCAGTCACTCTGATCATGGGAAAAGCAGAGTGAGCCAAATGCTGCGAGTTTTCACATTGTTTTCCTTCCTTCCAAGCCTTCAGGAAAACATCCTTCCCAAGTGCACAGCCCCACCATGAGCTAGCCAATCATCTGGTCTGACAGCCAGTGACTGCTTGGAAACCATGATTAGATAGGAGGGGAATGCATAGGGACCCTCATCTCTTTTAGTGCCATCCAAAAGTGGTCACATATATTTATAGTTAGACTATCTCACCTGTAAAAATTTAAAAAGGGAGTAATATGTGCTCTGGGCTTCCCTGGTGGCTCAGTGGTAAAGAATCCGCCTGTGATGTAGGAGACCTGAGTCTGATCCCTGGTTTGGGAAGATCCCCTGGAGAAGGAAATGGCAACCCACTCCCGTATTCTTGCCTGGAGAATCCCACGGACAGAGGAGCCTGGAGGGCTACAGTCCACGGGGTCACAAAGAGTCAGACACAACTGAGCGACTGAGCACACATGTGTGCAATATGTGCTCTAGATAAGAAGGAGGGAGGTGACTGGCAGGAGCTGGAGTGCATAGATTCTTGTGGTGGTTGCGATGATGATGATTTTGTTGATGGTGATGATGACCAAGAGTAAGGATGATGGCTTTAAGGATGAAATATAAGTAACAGTCATTTCTCTGCTGTGTTCTGGCCAGTTGAGGAGAAACACATAGCACTGTACAAGTAGATGTAAAAATACCTTTTTAAGGGCTCTCTGGAAGGGAATATCGGGTGGCATCTCTTTATTCTTAGGCTCAGCTAGACATTCAGACTGATGGAACTACCAGGGAGCATGTTTGGCACCAGATTCATTTAGAGGACTATAGACAGGAAGCACGGGCTCCTCAGGTAGGTGCAGCTTACTTCTGCAGGTGAATCCTCACCTGTTGTAGTTCAGGGCTAGTCTCTCAGCCCCCAAGTGATAGCTCAGAAACAAGGAGATGAAATCCACAGTAGTGCGTCCCTCTTGGCCCAGTGTTCAGGGTCCCCACAAAAGTCAGACATATTCACAAGAGTCAACAGACTAAGAAAGCCCAACGCTACAGCCTCCCAGCAGTATTCATAGTAAAGCACTCACCATTAGGGGTCACCTCCAACTTAGGACATGTTACAACCCAGCTGATACTGCACTTTCATCAGATTCCCAGGAGAGACAAACCAGAATGCCAACATGGCCTGTTCTTACAGAGGGAGAGTGTGCCATCACACTCCTCTTTATCCTTGGGGAAGGGAAAATGAGTGTAGCCCTGTGTTAGCTTAACAGGTGGAGTAAGAAAGAAATTAGAATATGGTGTTCCCTGGTAGCTCAGTGGGTAAAAAATCTGCCTGTAGGGCAGCAGATGCAGGTTTGATCCCTGTGTTGGGAAGCTCCCCCTGGAGAAGGAAATGGCCACTCATTCCAGTATTCTTGCCTGGAAAATCCCATGAACAGAGGAGCCTGGTGGATTACAACCCATGGGATCGCAAGAGTCAGACATGACTTAGCGACTAAGCCTTAGCCTAAGAAAGAGATAAGACACTTGTTAAAATAATTTCTTGAACCTTCTCTATTTTTCAGGCACCTTGGTCTATTCCTCAAGACTGTTAAGTGGCCTCAGATAGTAAAAATTTGAGTAAACATAATGCATAGGTTTAATTCATCCTTAAAAATAACTTTTCTATCAGAGTGGTGTGCTAAGGAAAAGTTGATGATAGTGGGAGGAAACATGAGGAGAAATTCACTGCATCACCACCAGCTCAGGGGGTATTCTCTGCCATGAAGCTAAGAGAATGCAAAGTCTGAGACATGGTTGGCTTGCTGCTCGTGAAGCCGCATCAGCCCCATCCATGGCTGTGTCCACCTGGCTGAACTCCAGGTGAATCAGTGAAAGCAATGGCTCTTGTGCAATGGCCTCTGGTTCTCACCAAAGGATTTGCCTGGAATGATTGCCAGGAAGGTCTAGGTTCTCTATTTAGTGCAGCATGGATTCAGGGCTGTGGAAAATGACTCTGGACTTGGTCATATCAGAAGGTTGTACATTCTGGAACACAGGCTGCCTCTACAGATGAAGCATCTCTTGGCTTAGAGTCCTACGTCCTGAGACCAATCTCTGCCACAGTAAAAGCCAGATGTAACTTGCTGTAGACAGAACAATCCACCAACCCCCTGCAACAGAGAGGAACTAAGAAAGGGGCTGACAACCCTAGGAGATAATCAGGGGAAGAATTATCCATATTGAACAGGTGAGGGTAGGTTTAAAGCAGCTGGGCTCCAGGTCACATAACTAAGAAAATGGTAGAGCTGGGGATTGGA